GCCCCGCGGAGGCAGCCACGGGCGGAGGGATCCCTTCGGGAACAGCGTTGGCGTTGGAGGGTTCGGGCGGTGGAACCTCAGGAATCGACGAGGAACCCGCAGAGTTACGCTCCGGGCCTGAGCTCGGGCCGGCTCCTTCCTCTTTCTCCCGCGGCGGCGCGGAGCTCCCAGTGGCCTCCAAGCCCTGATGGGTCGCCTCCATGACTCCGGATCTGGACGTCACTCTTTGTCCTACGGCTGCGGGTCCAGCACTGCGTTTGCGCCGGGTGAGCGAGAGGAATACGTTTTCCGCTAAAGGGGAGAGTCTGCGCAACCGGAGGGAGGCGGGCTCCGGGAGAAGGAAGAGCGCGCCAACTCACCGACCCCGGCGACGCCCCTGGGCGGACGGAAGCGGAAGTCTCCGTTGGCATCTCTATGATGAGCTCGGCGCGCGAGCGCCCGGAAGCCGAGTCCCGGCGACAGACAGCGGCGCCCCCTTGCGTTCGCGAGGCGCGTCGGAGACCTGTCGCGGGCGAATTTAAGCTGCGGTGACCCTTCTTGGAATGGTGGCGCCTCTAAGCACCAGTTCGAGGAGTCAAGAGTCGGTGGACTGGGAGGAGCCGGAGGAGGAGGAGGACCACCAGCGGGGTTCTCTTCCGCTGTAATCTCTTCAGCTTGCAGGTGACCGGCGCCAGCTCCTGTGCGTGTCTACTCACTAGACCCTGATTAGGACGCCGGAGCGGGACGTAGGGGGCGGGGGGCGGTCGGGCACTGAGGGAAAGTTCTCTTGCTCTGTCAAAAGTGGAGGGCATCCTGCCTTCCTATGTCACAAAGTAAATACTCAAGAACTTTGCCGTTATTATTTCTTGCGTGTCCTCTGAAACCAAGGAACAGGTGATTCTGAGTTGGGCTTTTAACTTTAGGATTAGTAAATACACTAAATCAGTGATGGCGAACCTTTTGAGCTCGGCGTGTCAGCAGTTTGAAAAACCCTAACTTAACTCTGGTGCCGTGTCACATATAGAAATTTTTTGATATTTGCAACCATAGTAAAACAAAGACTTACATTTTTGATATTTATTTTATATATTTAAATGCCATTTAACAAAGAAAAATCAACCAAAAAAATGAGTTCGCATGTCACCTCTGACACGTGTGTCATAGGTTCGCCATCACTGCACTAAATGCATTGCTCCATATGGTGGTCACTAGCCACATGTGCTTACTGAGCCCTTGAAAGGTGGCTAGTTGGAATTGAGATGTACTGTAATTTAAAATACAGGAGGGCCCTGTTGGTTTGGTTCACTGGATAGAGAGTCGGCCTTCAGACTGAAAGGTTTCTGGTTCATTCTGGTCAAGGGCACATGCCCAGGTTGCAGGCTCTATCCCCAGTAGGGGGCGTTCAGGAGGCAGTTGATCAATGATTCTCATCATTGATATTTCTCTCTCTCCTACCTTCTTCTCTGAAGTCAATAAAAATATATTTAAATAAATAGAATACACAAGAGATGAAAACATATCAAGCATTCTTCTGAGTCCTTAATGGTATGAAATTAGAAATCAGCTATAATTAAAATGCTCAAAAGCAATCAAACACATGGAGGCTAAATAGCATGCTATTAAACAATGAATGGGTTACCAAAGCGATCAAAGAAGAAATAAAAAACATCCTGGAAACAAATGACAGTGAAAACACAACAATCCAAAAATCTATGGGACAGTGAAAGCAATCCTGAGAGGGAAGTTCATAGAACTACAGGCCTACCTGAAAAAAACACACACAAAAACAAAAACAACAAGAAAAACTGGTAATAAGTTATCTAATCCTACAACTTAAAGAATTAGAAAAAGCAACAAGAAAAGCCCAGAGTAAGTAGAAGGAAGGATAGAGATCAGAGCAGAAATAAATGACATATAGACCTAAAAAACTATAAAAGATCAATAAAACCAAGAGCTGGTTCTTTGACAGGATAAACAAAATTGATGAACCTCTAGCCAGATTACCAAGAAACAGAGAGGACCCAAATAAACAAAATCAGAAACAAAAGAGGTGAAATAACAATTGACTCCACAGAAATACAAAGGATCATTAAAAAAATAAAACAACTATGAACAACTCTATTCCAACAAACTGAACAACCTGGATGAAATGGATATATTCCTAGAAAAATACAATTTTCCAAAACTCAATAAAGAAGACTCAGAAAACCTAAATAGGCTGATAACTACTGATGAAATTGAAGCAGTAACAAAAAAAAAGCAAAAGCCCTGGTCCAGAAGTCTTCATAGGGGAGTTTTACCAAACATTCAAAGAAGAACTAACACCCATCCTCCTCAAACTATTCCAAAAAAAATTCAAGAGGAAGGAACACTTTCAAGCTCTTTCTATGAGGCCAGCATTACCCTAATCTCAAAACTAGATAAAGAGCCTACAAAGAAAGAGAATTACAGGGCAATATCTCTGATGAACATAGATGCTAAAATCCTCAACAAATTTTTAGCAAACCAGATTCAGCACTACAGTAAAAAGATCATACACCATGACCAAATGGGATTTATTCCGGGATGCAAGGCTGGTACAATATCTGCAAATCAATAAATGTGATACAGCACATTAACAGGTTGCAAGACAAAAAGTCACATGATCATATCAATTGATGCAGAAAAAGCATTTGACAAAACCCAGCATCCTTTTTTGGATAAAATTCTCAGCAAAGTGGGAATAGAGGGGTCATACCTCAACATAATAAAAGCATTATATGACAAACCTACAGCCAACATCATACTCAATGGGCAAAAACTAAAGCCATTTCCCCTAAGAACAGTAACAAGACAGGGATGCCCACTTTCACCACTCCTGTTCAACATAGTACTGGAAGTGCCAGCCATAGCTATCAGACAAGAAGAAGAAATAAAAGGCATCCAAATTGGAAAGGAGGAAGAAAACTGTCATTATTGGAAGACAACACGATATTGTACATAGAAAACCCTAAAGACTCCATCTAAAAGCTACTAGATTTACTAAATGAATTCGTTAATGTAGTAGGATGCAAAATTAACATCCAGAAATTGATGGCATTTTTTTTTAAAGGTAAGGCCTGAATTTATTTATTTATTTATTTATTTATTTATTTATTTATTTATGAATATATTTTTATTGATTTCAGAGAGGAAGAGAGAGGGAGAAAGAGATAGAAACATCAATAATGAGAGAGAATCACTGATAGGCTGCTTCCTGCACACTCCACACTGGGGATCGAGCCCACAACTGGGGCATGTGCCCTGACTGGGAATCAAACCATGACCTGATTTTTAGGTCCATGTTCAATTACTGAGCCATGCTGGCCAGGCCGATGGCATTTTTATATACCAATAATGAATTCTCAGAAAGAGAAACTAAAAAAACAACAACAAAAAATTAAGATACTTAGGAATAAACCTAACCAAGGAGGTAAAAGACCTGTACTTGGAAAACTACGGGACTTTGAAAAAGAGATAGAGGAAGATATAAAGAAGTGAAAGAAAATACCGTGTTTATGGGTTGGTAGAATCAACATCATTAAAATGTCCATACTACCCAAAGCAATCTATAGATTCAGTGACAGCCCCATTAAAACACCAATGGTATATTTCACAGACTTAGAACAAACTATCCAAAAATTTATATGGAATAAAAAAAAGACCCTGAATAGCTGCAACAGTCTTGAGAAAGAAGAACAAGGTTGGAGGAATCACAATACCAGATATCAAGTTATACTACAAAGCCACTGTACTCAAAACAGCATGATACTGGTATAAGAATAGGCATACAGACCAATGGATCAGAACAGAGACCCCAGAAATTGACCCAAGCCATTATGCTCAATTAATATTTGACAAAGGAGGCAAGAGCATACAATGGAGTCAAGATAGTCTCTTCAATGAATGGTGTTGGGAAAATTGGACAGATACATCAAAAAATGAAACTAGTCCACCAACTTACACCATACACAAAGAGAAAATCAATAAAAATGGATAAAAGACTTAAATATAAGACATGAAACCATAAAAGTCTTAGAAGAAACCACAGGCAGCAAAATATCAGACACCTCTGTAGCAATATGTTTATGGATACATCTAGGACAATGGGAACTAAGGAGAAAATAAACAACTGGGACTACATCAAAATAAAAAGCTTCTGCACAGCAAAAGAAGCCATCAACAAGATAACAAGAGAGCACAATGCATGGGAGAACTTATTTGCCAATGATACATCCAATAAGGGGTTAATCTCCAAAATTTATAGGGAACTCATAAAACTTAACAAAAGGAAGATAAAAAAATCCAATTTAAAAATGGGCAAAGGACCTAAATAGACACTTCTTGAAAGTGGACATACAAAAGGCCAAGAGGCTTATGAAAAATGCTCAAAGTCACTAATCATCTGAGAGATGCAAATCAAAACAACAATGAGATACCACGTCACACCTGTCAGAATGGCTATCATCAACAAATCAACAAACAACAAGTGTTGGTGAGGATGTGGAGAAAAGGCAACCCTAGCACACTTCTGGTGGGAATGCAAGGATGGTGCAGCCACTGTGAAAAAGCAATATGGAGTTTCCTGGGTGTTGGGAAAATTGGACAGATACATCAAAAAATGAAACTAGTCCACCAACTTACACCATACACAAAGAGAAAATCAATAAAAATGGATAAAAGACTTAAATATAAGACATGAAACCATAAAAGTCTTAGAAGAAACCACAGGCAGCAAAATATCAGACACCTCTGTAGCAATATGTTTATGGATACATCTAGGACAATGGGAACTAAGGAGAAAATAAACAACTGGGACTACATCAAAATAAAAAGCTTCTGCACAGCAAAAGAAGCCATCAACAAGATAACAAGAGAGCACAAGGACCTGGAGAGCATTATGCTAAATGAAATAAGCCAATCAGAGAAAGATAAGTATCACATGATCTCATTCATGTGGAATCTAATGAACAATATAAACTGATGAACAAAAATAGATCCAGAGAAGAAGCATCGATCAGACTGTCAAACCTCAGAGGGAAGGCAGGGGAGGGTGAGCAGGTGGGAAGATATCAATGAACTTATACGCATATATGTATAACCAGGAACACAGGCAATAGGGTGGTGAAGGCCTGGCAGGTCAAGCTGGGGGAGGTCCATGGGGGGGAAAGGGGATATATGTAATTCTTTCAACAATAAAGATCTATAATAATAAAAGTGTAATATGCTAATTAGACCGGACGGCCAAACGACCTTCTGGACAAAGCCAGGGCTGCGAGGCAGAGTCCCTTGCATGAATTTTGTGCATTGGGCCTCTAGTTAAAAATAAATAAATAAATAAATAAACAAACAAATAAATAAATGGTACTTAGTACAAAAAAAATGCAAGATATCTCAATCATTTTTTATATTGATTACATGTTGGAATAATATTTTGCATATATTGGATCAAGTTAAAGATAGTAAAATTAATTGCACTGTGTCATTTTACTTTTTTAAAAATATATTTTTATTGATTTCAGAGAGGAAGGGAGAGGAGGAGAGAGAAACATTAATGACGAGAGAGAATCATTGATCAGCAGTCTCCTGCATGCCCCTAACTGAGGATTGAGCCTGCAACCTGGGCATGTGCCCAGACCTGGAATTGACCCTGGGACTCCTAAGTCTGCAAGCTGATGCTCTATCACTAAACTAAACCAGGTAGGGCTCATTTTACTTTTTAAATGTGGCTACTAGAGAGTTTTAAATTACATAGATGGCTAATATTATATTTTTATTGAATGGCACTGTGGTA